CGTGACTTCGGTCGCGAGTACGTGACTTCGGTCGCGAGTTCAGACCGGTATCAGTTCAGTTCAGTTATATATATGCTTAGTTCATGATATTGTTATTATTTACGATGTTTTCACATTAGTATGAGTTTCCACGGAGCACAGTGCCTAGTGCTCACGCCCCAGTTATATCTTATTTTTTTCAGGTTAGCAAGTCGGGCCGGCGGTGTGACATGACGGGAGCTGCTCGGGTCATTCAGGATATTTGTATATATGCTTTTGGACTGTATAACTAATATTTATGCTTCCGCTTACTTTTGAACTATCTTTTGACGATGGTTTGATGAATTTGACAGTTTTATCGTATTTGACGAACTTTTCGGAAAAATGAAGTTTTAAATAACCGGACGTTTTAATAAGTTAAAACACGGTTTTCCTAAAAGATAAGTAAAGATTTTCACGGTAACACCCCAAATCAGTATCGCAAGGTAAAAATGTTTAGTTTTCACAGACTTTGCGATTAATTGCGCAACTCTGATTTATCTAGTAAGGTGGGGTGTTACATAATTACAGCTATCATGCGCGAGGTATGTATATATCAGTTCCGCTTAGAGTGGTGGCCAGTTTGCGTAATTCCACTCTGAGCTCTAGTGGCTAGATCTGACCACTAGGGTGTGCACATGGTTCCGGCTGAGTTTATTACAGTCGGCAGACACGTCCAGTTTATACTGTTGACGAGCAGTTACAGATAGCAGCAGATATACATGCGTTTGATCATGATGATGCAATTATTATTACTGTTTTATTCAGTATGAGTTTCTGCGGAGTACAGTGATTTTAGTACTCACGCTCCCACTATTATGATCCTTTTTTAGGTGACAGGGTCGGTCCGGAGGAGTGAGCGGAGCTGGTGGTCGCCGGTGCAGTATATATGTATTTATGCTTTTGCAGACTTATTATATGTATATTACTTGCCACGTTTTTACTTCCGCTGATGTTTTCAGACTCTCAGATGACGATCCGAGTATTCGGGTCAGATTTTATACAGTATCACACGCTTGTTTTATAAAAGATAATCCGTTTTCATAAATGGGTTTAGAATTATATAAAGATAACAATTTTTAGAAAAGAAATATTTTTCTGTAGCATCCCGAGATATGATTTCGCAAACTAAAACGTAAAGTTTATAAAGGAATTTGCGAAAAATCACACTCTGATTTTAGTAAGCTAGCGGGGTGTTACAGGCCACATCCTCTGTAACGCCCCATTTCTTTATGGATAATTGAGATTATTATTATTATTATTATTATTATTATTATTATTATTATTATTATTATTATTATTATTAATAATAATAATATTTGTATTGCTAAATGCCTAATTGTTTTTAATTGTTTAATTGATTTTATGTGATTAATGTGTGATTTAATAAAATAAATTATGTGTAATAATAGTAAATATTATTATGTGTATCATATGTATATATTATACTCGGTAAATATATTCATCGCGCAATGAAATCGGGCCCCAGTATACCCGCGTGAACCGAACCGAGCCATTGGATTTTTCTTATTTTGACCCGTGAAGGTGTGACATTGCCATGTTGGGCCATATTTTATTCTCGGCCCAATTGAACGTTAAGTAAACTGGCCCATATAGCTTGCGAATTCGGCCCATTAATTAAGGCCCTATTTTTTTTTTCTTATCGGTTAATTAAGCCCAAATGACCGACCATAGGAGGGTTCAGAGCCTTCTTCTTCTTCTTCTATCAATTTTCACGCAGATCGTCACACTCTTATCTCCTATCTCTCTCGCGACCGTCGCGCAGTCTTTGTCTCTCTGAACACTCTCTCCATCGTTCTCTCACCTCTCTCCATCGCGACCAAGCACCCCAACGCTGCAATTCCGCCTCCATCAGAAATCCCTTTAGCAGAGAACCAACGATGCGAGGCAAGGGAACCGCGAACCAGCGGCAGCGGTAGAGCAATTCCCGACGTCGAGCCGTGAACCAACCTCTGACGAAAGGAACCACCTTCGTCGTCTTCCAAATGGTCGCGACAGGAGCAAAAATTTTTGAAACCCGACTTCAGGCGAGAAGGGCAGCAAATATCGGCGACCGCGAGTTAGCCTTCCACGGCGATGCAATCGAAGAGACTCTAGTTTCTGGTGGCTGACAAGAGCCAGCTATTTAGCAGCGTGACGAGCTCACCTTGCTGCGACTCAACAAATTTTCGGCGAGCCAGTCTTTCACGACTGTTATCGAGCAGCGCCGGAGAGCTCCAATTGCCTGCAACTGTGTTATCGGACCTAATGACGACCATTGAGCTCCGACCTTCAATCTCCAGCC